CCATTTATTTATTTGTAAAGTCTCTTGAGAGAAAGTAAAATCTAAAATAAATATTTATAGTATATAGGGTTGATAACCTTGCTATGTCATCTACGTAGAGGGTATAATAACGAGCAAGCATTTCAAAGACAGATACAGAGCAAAAAAAATCACAGAATATTAAATAATAAATACTTAATATGCCATTGTTAATTAACAATCAGCATTATTCTAATATACTCGACTGGGAGACCAGTTTCGATGCCGTCATTTTTCAGATCGTGGAGAAGCCCGCTTTGAGCTCTAATGAAAATGTGACGATGTGCGACTCATAGACACAGGGGTTTTCCGACTGATGAAAAGCTGTTGTGATTTTTATTTTGGTTAGCTAGTTAGTTAGATAAATCAATATTAATTTAGTAGACGTATGCATGGGCAATTAGCGCCAAAGTTGCGGGGAAGTCCGACAGACCTTTCAAAATCTCAACCGGCAGCGTCATAAGACCAAGCTGTATAATAAATGCACTCAATTTAAATGTTTATTCAAACAGCTTTAACCCAAAATGTAATCAAAGCTTTAGCCAATTTCTTTTCTCTGCTTTCAGATTTGTCACATCTCGACTTGTTTATTTATGCAAGCCGGCGCCCAAACAAAAAACTTATGTCGAAGCCCCACATAAAAGTCTCACACAAAATGTCAAACCGGTTTTTCAATCTATTTTTTCTGCTTCTTTTTCTATTATTTTTATTATTTTTTTTTTACTATTTATTTTTGCAAATTAATGCTGTCCGTTTTTTGCTCTTTTTCAGCTTTGTTAATATTTATATAAGCGTGTAGCAGACTTTTTACATTTTTTCTTGTGTGTTTTGTTGACTTATTGGCTGCCCGTATGATTTATCGTATATTGAAAAACTAAACATAAATATGTTTGAATTGTACATATTTTTACAATTAATTTAACAGATTGCTAATTACGTGAATCAAATTACGTTGCTCGTAAAAACTCAACTAAAAAGATTACGCATAATTAATTAAGTGAATATTATGTTTGTCTATTTTTAAATCTTTTTAATCATTTTATATTTAACTTTTGTGATTTGTTTCATATTTCGTGTTGGTTATATTTGTTTTATATATATTTTTTTATTTTTGGTTTTAGCGTGTTATGTCTTTGTGACTTTAGTCTCAATTTCAGCCAATTTAGACATGTTAAAGCGCAATAAAAACAAAAAACTAATTTACACAGGCGAACAAGATTTAGCAACTCATTCTGAAAAAATCTGTGTATCATTGGAATAAGATAAAATAAGAGAGGGAGATGGAAATAGAAGGAAATACGTGGCCAAAAGCTATTAGTTTTTTAAATTAAGAATGCTAATCGTAGTAGACAGCTTTTATATACCCTAAGTTTTTGAAAATAAAAGCTTTTGCGTCGGCAGCTTTCGAGTAGAATATCGAGAAAATATCTTCTTGATAGTTTAGCATCGAGCACATTTGTTAGTTTTAAAAGTGTTAAACCTTATTCTAATAAATGGCATCAAATTTTGTTAGCTATTGCCATTAATCATTAATCTAAGCTCCTAAAAATATTGCGTAAATAAATAATAATTTATTATGTTTATGGGACAGGTTATGAGAGAAATACATATGTTGGTAGCATTAGTAAGCTAGTAGGCTTGTTTCTTAAATGAGAGTTATTTCAGAATTCTATTCGAATTCCTCGTTGAACTTATAGTTTTTAATGAATTTAGTGTTAATATTTAATAATATTTATTTTTTATGTTGTCTAAGTAAAGTTGCTTCGTTTCCAAAATTTCAGTTCGGTTTAATTTGCTTTTGCTATAAAATGTGTATATTTGTATTCTAGCATAAATCATCCCAAATTACATTTGTTTTGAAAACCAAAATTCGAAATATGAAAAATATTTCAAGTGGAGAGTTCAAATAAAATGCTCTACAAATAATTAATAAATATACAATTTATAGCACTGTGAGACTTAATTTATAGCTTGTATAGGCGCCATCATAATGAACTGCATTTAATTGAAAATATTTGCTTATTAAAAACAATCAAATTCAAATAATTTATCGTTGTAATTTTATCGCATTAGCCGTCAAGGCAACCGCCAGGCAGCCGAACTAGCTAAATTTACATTAATTATGCAAACTGAACCACGGAGGCCAAAAATCCAAAAATATCCACAAATCCGTGCATTGCCATGGCAAATGGCAAAAATGTGCACTAGATGCCAATGTTAAGGGCCAAAATGCATTTGCTGTATTTATTGTTTTTATTGTTATTGGCCATTTGCGAGAATCTCTCTCCCTCTTCGGCTGCCAAACTGGATTGCTCGCCTAGTTGGCGAACTTTTCAATTATGCGGCCTTTCGGTTAATGACCAAAGCGACATCAAACGACAAACGCGTTATGCGATACATTTTGAATTATTTAATTTTAATTAAAATCCTACACATGTATACTGAAGGCCAAAAACAATTGCATACCTTCAGGCGAGGCCAAAAATAATTGTGCAAGAGTTTCACAAATGAATTCCAATTCGAATTTGTTTTTGGAATTACAAGAACGGGATACTTGACATGGAAATGTAATTCATTAAACTGTGAAGCTGTTGGAAAAATATTAATATTACATAATTATATATACTTTGATTATTTATTTAAGTAATTTTTAATAATAATACTAGACTATAAATAAATATCAATAAAATTATTTAATATTTTAATAATTATATAAAATCAATAAAATATTTATTGATATATTTATATATTTTTATAGATAAGAGTTCTTTTAAAAACAAATCTTTATATTAAATAAATAATAAAAACAACAAATATTTTTAATTAGAAATTTTCTGTTTGTGTAAAGTTCTTAAAATAATTATTTAATTATAAGAAAAGCCTCTAAAATGATTTTATAACACTAACAAGAGAAAGATATTAATATAGAGGGAGAGATAAATAGAAATAGAGAGGGAGAGAGAAAGTTATGCTTCCATTAAAAAATTCAGACTAGCCTACTTTTCAGCACAAGAATAAATACTTTTTTATTTTCAAAATTAATTTAATAAGTTACATGCTCTAAAAAGTCTATGCATCTGTCTCATCAATAACAAAGATTTATTTTTTATTAGAATAAATCTGAGACTAAATAATTTTCATATTCACCTTTACAAATAGTGTCACAGTTGTTTGGCCATTCTTCAAGCAATTGAATCAAAAAGCCAATTCATACTCTGACCCACGTTAGACAGCAAAGTTTCAAATGTGCGAACTTGTGGATTATGAAAAAACTTCGAACGATAGGAAGTATTTCGCACATGTATTTACATTTATTTTATTACCTAACATAAATTGCGGCAAACAAAGGAACGCAATATTGTCAATTCGACAATTCGAGGCAAACTCTAACGGCAATTGTTGCCATCATGCGAATGGAAATGGCAACAGCAGCAGCAGCAACTGCAGCAGCATCAACTGGCAACACAAAGCGGTAGCAGCAGCAGCAGTCGACAGTGTGGCAAGCCGCCAGCAACAGGAACAACAGGAGTTGTTGGCCTAGCCCAGGGTGAGCTCATGTTCAGCTCCTGCTGTTGTCTTCCTGCTACTGCCCCATCGACACCGCGTGCACTTCCGCTTTACGCTGTAAAGTGCACCACAGGGGTTCATTGTCCTTGTGCAAATTGGTCTGAGTTTATTGCCAATGGCTGTTCGCAGCAGACGTTGTCCGACCTAACAGCTGCTCCTAGCCAATTCTCTCTCTCTCTCTCTCTCTGTCTCTTTGTAAATGGGATGCGCTGCCGTCTGGACTGGCGGGCAGCAATAAAACTGCACTTTGAGGCTGCACAAAGTTTGCTTAAGATTTCAATTTGTTGCTGGAAGCTGCCGACGCCGCATTGTGCGCAACAATTTGCAACAGTAAAATTGCCCCCTTCTGCTCTCTAACTTTGGCTCCTAATGATAAATGCTTGCTAAATGCCACAGACTGCAATCGCATCCACGATTTATATGCCTCACTATGTTATCAATGTCTTCAGTTCTTTAAACTACGCGCGCAGCTCTCTAATAGGCCCATTAATTTAGGCTAAAGTTTTCTAGCTTAAATTACAGCCAACGAAATTACGACAAACTAAGAGTTATGCACTGAAAGAAATATATTGTATATCAGCTGAAAGATTATCGATGTGCAATCTTAGAAAGCAAAGTTGAGCATTTTACAGAAATTAACTGAGGCATATTGTTTTATAATAATTTATATATAGCAATTCATCATTCAAGTGAAGGACTGTTTGTTTTTTCTCAGTGCATATATAACCCCTATAACTTTGCCTGCATCCAGCTACATATGCAAAGCCCTCTGCATAAGCACTCGGTTCTCCTCAAGGACAACACGTGACTTTCCAACTGTAATGGAAACTTTTCACTTTTGGCAAACTTATGAAATATTATTATAGGGATAAGTTTTGTATACTGCCACCTGGCATAAGTTTACGACTGAATATTTAGACTATTTCGCTAATGAAATTACCGGAGCAAGTGTCGTATGGCAAACTAAGTAACTGCGATGTTCTCTCCACAATTGTGATTTAATAATACGATTCAGCCAAATTGCATAAAACGGGTTTAATAATTAACACAATTGCCTCTAAGCGGCAGTTAATTGAGGTATTGTTGGGTATGACCTAAGTGTAAATACTAGACAAAGATATATATATATATAAACATTGCTTATATGTTGTACCCTGTAAATATTTTCTAATTAACTTATTGATTAACTATTGAAAAGTGGAATCTGATGTATAATATAGGTAAAGGTATTGGGATTCAAAATTCTACATAGGTAGAGAAAAGTAATTCAATTCGTAACTTTTTTTAGATATACGAATAGCAAAGTTTATTCCATATCACATATCATTATACTTGATGCTTACAGTCGATTTATAAGCTCAGCCTCTCACTCTGGCAATTATTGGCCTATATAGACGACGCAATAAAAAACCACATTTGTTTGTTATAAAAATCGTTTTATTATAAAAATTGATTTGAGGTCTCTTATTGACTTTGAAATACTCTTTCGTTTTGTAGTTGGTTGGCAAATGGAGAACTTAAATTAACTAAACTAACGACCATAGCCGCCTGCAGAGGATGAGGCTGAGGCCGATGCAGAGGAGCTGGCACCAGATTTGCCGCCGCCACCGTATCCACCGCCGCCGCCATGCTTGCCGCCACCTCCGTAGCCGCCACCTCCGTAGCCGCCGCCGCCGTAGCCGCCGCCGCCATGCTTGCCGCCGCCTAGCCCAACACCACCGCCTGCTCCAAGACCGCCGCCAATGAATGGTCCACCAATGCCGCCGCCGCCGCCATGGCCGCCGCCAATGCCACCTGAACTGGCGCTGGATCCAGCTGACGCACCTGCACTACCGCCTCCAATGCCACCACCAAGCCCAGGTCCACCTCCGAAGCCAGATCCACCAGCTCCATGACCACCGCCTCCAAAGCCACCACTGCCTCCATGGCCGCCACCTGCCGATCCGCCCGCGTAACCACCACCTCCAAGGCCGCCGCCGATGCCAAGGCCTCCACCGCCTCCAAGGCCACCACCACCTCCATGACCACCTCCTGCTAGTCCGCCTCCGAAGCCGCCACCGCCATGTCCACCACCTGCTGATCCACCTGCTGATCCACCGGCGAATCCACCGCCTGCTGATCCACCTGCTGAGCCACCGGCAAAACCACCGCCTCCATGGCCGCCACCACCGAAACCACTGCCTCCGTGACCACCACTGCCGAAACCACCGCCTCCAAGGCCACCGCCTCCATGGCCACCTCCAATGCCGCCACCTCCAATGCCGCCACCACCGTGGCCTCCAAATCCGCCACTACCTCCATGGCCACCTCCCAGTCCGCCACCTCCGCCACCGGCACCAAATCCAGGTCCACCATAGCTGCCACCACCTCCGTGTCCACCAGCAGTTGCACTGGAACCAGCTGAGGAAGAGGAGCCACCGCCAGCGCCTCCAAAGCCGCCGCCGCCACCTCCAAATGGACCACCTCCAGCTCCTCCACCGTGTCCACCTCCCAGACCTAGTCCGAGACCTCCACCGCCACCACCGTGCTTGCCACCGCCAAGACCCAGATCGCCGCCTAGTCCTAATCCAAGGCCGCCACCTAAGCCCAAGCCTCCGCCTAAGCCACCGCCGCCACCACCACCAAATTTGCCGCCAGCACTGGCGCTGGAACTAGCCGACGCGGATGCCGTCGACGAGGCACCACCACCGCCGCCTCCATAGCCAGCGGAGGCCAACGCAACGCAAACACTGAGCACAATAAACAATCTCATTGGAGCTTCTGACAAACACCAACTGACTTCGGCTCCTAGAGAACGCTCAGCTTTTATAAGAACGCCGAAGCACTGCGAAAAAATAATTTAAAACAAAAGGCAAAAAACCCAAAACTAAAAACAAAAAATAAACAAATAAAAAGCAAACAAAAACAAAACCAAAACGGAAAAATAAAGTAAAATATAATCAAAACAAAAAGCAAATGCAAAACTCTAGTCACGTTCTGAAAACCGGGATCGATGCCGGGTCAGACGGAGCAAAACTTTGATAATTAACCCATTCAGAGAGAGTGAGAGAGAGAGAGAGAGAGAGAGGCAACTAGAGGCAACAACAACCGCAGCATCAATAATATGATCAAGAATATCGAGCCACAAACAATAATAAGACATTTATTATCATTTATATAATAAATTCTACATTGTCTACGATTCTCTCGAAGTATAGCGTAATCATCGTACTCAAATAACAGATCGAGCAGATCTTTAAATAAACTTAAGATAAGCGAGAATCGAATTAACTAATCGAATTTCTAGCTAATAAATGAGTTTTGATGAGATTGAGAATTATAATATATAGACTATGTAGAATATAGATTATATATTTTAAGTTTGTTTCGAGCTATAATCTCTACTCTGGTCTACTACAAGGAAATTTTAATAGGTTAAATATATGTTTAGATGAGCTAAGCGAAAAAAATGATTGATATATCATATATATAATCTGAAAATCTATCCATCTATATCAATATCTATATGTCTATATATATTTCAGAATAACTCTCCATCTGGAGATACGCCGTTTCCACCTTGCATATTATACTGTATATCATATTATACTATAATCTAACAGCCCATCTATCGATCCATGTATCGATCTAGCTATTTATATCCAAGTATCTCTCAGTCGAGAGGCAATCACTTTCCACTTGATATATTATGCCATATATCTCTCTCTATATGCAACAATCCCAAACATCATAATCATCTATATATACAACTAACTACAATCTCAAACGTGATAATCATTTATATCCCGCATAGCCCTATGACTACTCTGGAAAATACGAACATCAAAATCAAATTCAGAAATTCCCCACATCAATTTGGAATATTCTTTTGTCACATTTAATTTAATTTGTGCTACGCTCAGAGCATTCGTAATTCGTTGCATCTTGAATATTGTTTTATTCGATTTTCTCATAGTATAAAAGGTTTACATAAATCAAGCTTTCGACGTCATTAAGATCGGAAATAGCAGCGCTGAAGCCATACGAGATTAGAATTTTAATTTCACACTACCTAAAAGCTGGCTGATTATGACAGTAAGTGACCCCAAGGTGTATTCAGACTGTCGATTAGAAGAGATTGTGAAGCTGTGAGGCTTACTATTTTAATCAAGTAAATAAATGGATTTTTGATTGGTTTTTCATACTATTACTACGAGTGGGCATTTCCCGGGTTTTCTCTGTTAGATTCTCACTGATAGAAAGTCATCCAAGCAGCCTTTATGAATTCAGCTCAAATATACTCTGAGTTATATATATATCTATATAACCACCAAGAACTTTTATTTTGTTCCTGCACAACTGAATTCCTGGAGCAAAGTTCGTTTCAGTGTTGAAGAAAATGCAGTTTTCACGCCTTGAACACAGCTTTTCACTTATTTTGGATGGCCGGGTAAACTGAAATGCAAATGTCAAGAGTTGGTTGGCCTGAAAGCATAAGCAGCTCTGAGAAGTCACTCACAAAACAACAACAACAACAACAAGAGCGAACCGCAACAGCAGCTGTTGAGAAAATGGCATGTGCATAAGAAAATAGAAAATTTCCTCAAGGAAATCTGCTTAGAAATGCATGTACTTGTTGTAGCCACGGCTGCTGCTGCTGCTGCTGCTGCTGTTGGTTGGATGAAATCTGCTACAGTTTGTGGGCCAAGTCATTGTCAGCTGAAAGAAACAACTTTTGACTTCCGTTTCCGGTCGAGCCGGAGCTGCTGCATATTTAAAGACGCACAGTTTTATGCAAATATCTTTCCATATTTAAAGCTGCACAACAAAGGCAAAATAAATAAATAAATATTAAATATTATGCTAGGCGAAATGATATCAGTTCGCATGTAGGCCAATTGCACGACCTCGTATCCTCAGACCCTTGACCTCGCCCTCCACATCCTTCGCCGGCGACTGCTTGCCCAGCACTTGCAGCATGCGGCTATAGAGCAGCTTTCGTACGTCGACTGCCCAGAGGAAGTCCATGTGGTTGAACTCCTTTAGGGGCACCAAATACTTGCCAGTCACATTGCCCAGGTCCTCACACATGGACTCCACGTCGTGCGGATGACACAGCAAATCGTTGGATGAATAATAAACAAAAGTCGGCACCGTCACCAGGCTCAGATTGTAGCGTGGCGGCACATGCTCTCTATACAATGCCATGTTCTTGTTGGAACTATAGCTGTAGGGCGCGAATCTGCCACTCTTGATGATTTGTATAAAGTGCTTGACCTGCTTGGCGGCCACGCCTGCTGGATAGTGGCCCAAAACAACGGGAAACATTTTCTAAGGCAAGAAGAGACTTGAAGTGCAAGGAAATTGGGCAAATAACAACTACAACTTACCCTGTTGAACTCGTTCCAATTGCGCCCCACAATGCCAAAGACAGCTTCAATGCAAAGTCTTTCCGTTTCTTCGGTCATGCGACAGAGAAACCGAAATTCACCATTGAACATTTCTGTTATGGAGCTGCCCACAAGGGTCTAGAATAAGGAGAGTAAGAAAAATAAAGGAATATAAATACAGAAAATATAAATCAAAAGGAAAGCAAGTTGGGATCCATCGGACGGATCACAAGACTCTCTCATACAGTTTTAGTTTTAGTCTTTCAATAAACTTTAAGCTACTAATTCATATCAAATTTATACATTATTTATCGTCCATTTGGGCAAATTAAATCTTTCATCTATCAACTCTTTAAGTCCTACATCCTAACATGGTCCCCATAAGAATGAGTTAAGGCTTTCAGTTAAGCTCGCTTCTTAGCCCTCTCTTCAATCGCTTAACGTCTACCCACAAACTCACATTGAAATACAAGCTGATGGCACGTATATAGGGATGATCTTCTGTTTCTTTGGCATAGACAGCCGGAGCCATGGCCTGCATGGAGACGACCTTATCGTTGTACGCCGGTCGCATGGAGCACATGACAAAGAAGGCCGTGCAGCCCTGGGAATGTCCAGCGTATTGCACTTTCTTATAGCCGGTCACTTTAAGCACATGATCGATCATTGCCGGCAGATCGTACATGCCAATTTCATGCCAACTGAAGTCCCAGAACTTGGAGGCATCCGGATCGAGTGTGGTGTGGTTTCTCGAGTAGCGATTGCCACGCGCATTGCCCAGCCAAACGTCATAGTTGTGGTCGGCCAGCAAGTAGCCTGGAGCGAAGAGCTGGTAATCACTTGGTCATCACTCATTAATCATATCGGCGACACTCACCCAGACTCACGTTGGGGCCCATGACCACGAAGCCCGCCGAGCTGTCAACGAGCCCATGCTGTAGTAGAAAGGGCTGGGCGCCCGAATTGCGTATGCGATGCATTGTTAGAATGTAGCCATCCTCTGTGGTCACATAATGCACTTCCGCCTGGTAACCGTACTTGGCAATTAATTTATCCTGTTGATGAAATGTGTAAATTGTTGCAGTTGATGGGCAACTTGCCTTGGGTCATTAATCTTCGTACCACTGTTAGGTTCGAGTCCTGCTTGATGTTTTTGCGCTGCAATTTCTCTTCGGGCGTCTCATCCTCGATACTTTCCTCCTCCTCCTCCTCCTCTTCCTCCTCCTCCTCATCCTCCTCGCCGCCAATGAGCTGCGCCTGCGCTCTTCCAATGAGCAGACACAAGCCGAGCGCCAGCAGCAAGCGACGTTGCATTATGATGGATGAATGGAACCTTCACTCCAATTGAATCGATCAGCATAAAGAGAAATTGGACCTTTTAGTTTCGTAATTTCTGTTGTGCGTTTTGTTTGCTTGGGCTCTTTACTTGTTGGTCAACTTGAGCGCTGCACGTCGCGGCCCCAACTGAAACTGAAACCAAAAATCCGGCGACGCGTTTCGAACTTCCGCGCGTTTACAAAGAATGCCGAAAAACTTTCGATCGCCAACAGCAACAGCAACAATGAACCCATTGACAACAACAACAACAATTATAATAACAAAATGCGTTATGACGTGTTTTTGATTTTGCTTCTTTTACCTTTTTGATTTCCAATATACCCTGTAATTTGGTGTCGACTCAAGTTGACTCAAAATTCATTCCGAATGAAGGCTAAATGGTTAATGAGAAACATATAATTAATATAATTATCGATTTAATATAATTATATATATATCACCACAAATTTCATTAAGAATATTTGCATATGTGTGAGTTATACTCATACAATACTAGAGAGTAATTTATATATATATATAATTAAAATAAAGGTTAGAATAAATAAGAGTTCATATGAATATTAATCGAAGATTACAATAAATTAAAAAAATATATATATTAACAGTTGCATATATAGACTTACATTGCAACTACCCCACATATACATAAAGCAACTAAACTACGGAGTATCTGCTGCTATCTGAATCTCTCTCTCGTTGTAACAACTTTTATATGATATGCTTTTTGACAGCTAATTAAGGTGTGAGAGACGACGAGAGAAGGTAAACCGAAAAACAAATTGAGATGCGCTGAGTGTTATTATCAATAAAGAATTACAATCAAAATGCAACTACAGTAAAGCTTCGCTGGGTGTGCTTTATATTTTGAAACTGTGCCAGCTTTCATGTAGGCCAAAATGAACTGATTACCTTTGGGGTTTGGTAATAGCAAGCCGAAAATATGTCAACTTACAAAATCAAAGAAAAACTTTTCCATTTGAATTCCACCTACAAAAAAAGCAAGTAACGAGGTGAATACACAATAATTGTAAAAAATTTTTAAACTAAAAAAAGTTTAGACAAAAGGCTAAATTATAATAAAATAAAAAATAAAACTTAATAAAAAATCTCCAACAAATATTAAAGCAATAATATATCTCTATTTAAAAATACAACATAAAACTAAATAAAAAATCTCAAATAAATTTAAAACAAAATAGAAAAAAATCATAAAATAAAAATGTCATAGATTTCTTTTTTTTTTTCAATTAACTAATGTACATATTTTTTAAGTAGAAAAAGGTGTAAGGTATTAGAGTTAAGTGTCAAAAAATAAATAAATAAACCAAGTTTCAAAAGCAATTATTTTTATTTGGCTTATACATCAAAAAGGCAATATTCTACATTTTTTATTTATTTTCAACTTGTTAATATTTATAAATTATGTAAAAATGGGTTTTTTATAATGAAAGAATCAAAATATTGTTGATCACTTACCTTTATTAAAATCTAAGGCAGAGGCAAGCTGGTTATGAAAAGTAGGTAACTCGCTCTTTAAACTCTCTTTCTGACGCTTAACATATTAAACAAATATTAAAAATATAGTAGTTTAGTGTTTAAAATAAATAAATATTTATAATATAATTATAAATAATTTAAATATATGTATTAAATTAAATGAAATTAACTAATGATATTTTAACAAAGATTATATTTATTTAAAAAATACTAATTTTAATTATAATATTTAAAAAAATTGTTAAAAAACTCAAAATAATAAATTTATTCATATAAAAAAATTTGAATAGAATATAACATATAAAATCAAATTGTAAAATAATAAAAGCTGAAAAATAAAAAATTAGTTTTATAGTTTTATTTAATTCTAAAAATTAGCTTTATTTGTTTGAATTACGGAAACTAAATTTTGATGTATTTTTGTTATTTAACAATTTTATTTTGTATTACATTTTTATTTCCAAAATTTTCTTTGATTTGAATGATTATGAATAGCTCAAGTAGTTAGAGTATGTGCTTAGTTAATATTTTTGCCTCTTTGGCTGCTGGTGCTTTTGGCCAAATATCAAGCGAATTGGTTTAATAACCTTTTTTTGGCTTAGTTGCTATTGTTGCTGTTGCTCCGCGTGGCCTATTGTGGGTCAAATACTTAAGCGGCTGCTAAAAAAAAAGCACACAAAGCTAACAGAAGAAACAGAAAACATTTTTGTCCGTTTGCCTTTTGAGTGGGCAATCAAAAGAAAGTAAAAGTGTTGGGCCCAGACGGCAATTTGTCACATTTTGTTGTTGTTGTTGGCTTAGTATTCAGTTTTTTATTTGATTTTTTATGGCTTGGCCAACAGCGAACCGATTACATAATTGCCATTTGGCCATTTGGCCGCTTGGCCGCTTGGCAGTTTGGCTCGTTGCCAGAGCAAATAAAACACATTTCGCTTTGGCTCGCGCTTTTAATGAGCCTCAATGGGCGCCTTTGATGACAGCTCGGGGAACCCAATTACTTAGCACCGCCACCTCCCTCATTCGATTATGTACGGTAATTTGCCTTCGAAAAACTTTTCCATCAACTCGATCAGCTTATCATTGACCAGAGTCTTCACATCGCTCGAGACCAAGAAATCAAAATGATTGAACTTTGAGGAGGCAATGCGTCGAACACTACGCACCGAGCTCAGCATCCGGGCATAGATGCCGTGCACGCCCTCGGGCGTGGCAATGGCATCCGTCTCCCCAAAGTACAATATGATGGGCACACTGATCTGGCTGAGGTTATAACTAATCGCCTCGATACTATGATAGATCTGCATGTTGTCAATGGGTCCAAAGTCGTAGGATATAAAATCACCCGATTTCCAAATCTGTTGCAAGTGACGCAGCTCTCGCGCCGAGCCGCCTTGCAGCAGATGCTCATAGCCAAAGATGTCGAGTAGCTGGAATTGAAATTTTGATTAAATATATATATGTTATCTATATATTTTCATGTGTTATACCTTCTTATTGCTTTGCGCGCTGCCAGCTAAGATTTTGGTATAATATTCACAAAGCTCACGCTTTTTGCTGCATAATTTGCGTAGTTCGCCAGGTTGAAATAACTCAAGTTTCTTGGCCTTTTCACGTTGCTGCATGAAATGAAATAGGTTAAGAATGTTGTAAGGAATTTGTAGATGTGATCATGGTTATTTTTTGATTATTTGTTGCACGACTCAAACATGTTATCTTAATTTTTATAGATTTTTAGAGAACTATCTAAACTACTGTGAACAGACTATAAATAGGAATGTTAATGGATTAATCCACTACTCGATTCACTTACAAGAAAACTGAGTAAAATTTTCTTGGAACCACTCTTAGGTAAAATATGCCTCAATCTTTGCTCTCTTCAACTTCCACTTTAGCTCTTAGCTCTTGACTGATCACAGCTGATTATCACACTTAAACTCTACACGATCGGTCGCTCTCTCTCTCTCTCTCTTCTCGCTCTCTCTCTCTCTCTCTGTGGGGGGTTATCAGCTATTTGTGAACCTCAACGCGATTAGAGCTCACCGTCTACATATTATTATTCTGCTGTCTCTAGGTCTGCCCACTGGGCTCTCCATGATGTCAGGCGATGTCAAGTGGCTTATCAATTAATAAGCATGCACGAAGTGGTCCATTTGCCCGATCTTTAGTCTTGCAAACATGTTCAAGCTAGGCAGGCAACTGCACACGCATAAGGTATTGCCTTTTGGCTGGCAAAAGCAACGCCACGCCTCCTCCAGTTCAGCGGGCGAGCGCACAGCACTCTACGATTTCCATGTGCGTAAAGGCGGCAAAATTGTCAACTTCGGTGGCTATGCGCTGCCCGTGCAGTACTCTGACCAGAGCATCATTGCCTCACATCTGTACACACGCCGCGTGGGCTCCATCTTTGACGTGTCGCACATGCTGCAGACCTACGTCCGTGGCAAGGATGCAGCTGCCTGTCTGGAGACCGTGTGCACAGCTGACATACTGGACATGCCCCAAGGCAGCGGCAGTCTGACTGTTTTTACCAACGAGCAAGGCGGCATTCTCGATGATCTGATTGTGAACAAAGTCAGCGAACAGGAACTCTATGTGGTCTCCAATGCGGCAATGAAGCAACAAGACATGCAAATCATGAACTCAGCTGTGGTGAGCACCAACTTTCCCACTGCTATAACATTTATATAAATAATACCTTTGGCAGTCCCGCTTCAAATCGCAAGGCAAGGATGTCTCCATTGAGTTCTTAAGTCCCGCAGACCAATCCCTAATAGCGGTTCAGGGACCGCAGGTAGCGCTGGAGCTAGCAAAGCTGCTGCCCCAGCCAAAGGCTCTGGAACAGCTCTACTTCATGCGGTCCGCAGTCTTTGAGCTGGCTGGCATAAGCAATGTACGCATTACACGTTGCGGCTACACGGGCGAGGATGGTGTCGAGATTTCGGTGCCCTCTTCGCAGGTGGAGTCACTGACTGAAGCGCTGCTAGCAGCTGGAGAGCTGAAGTTAGCTGGCCTGGGCGCTCGAGATTCACTACGCCTGGAGGCCGGTCTGTGCCTCTACGGCAGCGACATCGATGCACAGATCACGCCCGTGGAGGCAGCGCTCGCCTGGCTGGTGGCCAAGCGACGACGCACCGCAGCCGACTTCCCTGGCGCCCAACCAATTCTACAGCAGCTGAAAGAGGGCGTGCAACGACGTCGCATTGGACTACAAATGCTGGGCGCCAAAGCGCCGCCAGCACGCGCAGGCGTTGCCATCTTCAGCGATGGCCAGCAGGTGGGTCAGGTGACCAGCGGCTGCCCCAGCCCCAGCACTGGACGCAACATTGCCATGGGCTATGTGGCAGAACAACTGAAGAAGCCAGGCACAAAGCTGCAGCTGAAGGTGCGCGACAAATTCTACGAGGCGGAAGTAACGCGAATGCCCTTCGTCAAAGCCAACTACTACAATAAGCCCAAGCAATAAAATGTATTGGTAAAGTTGAAGTCTTAGCTCTTGTTTTCTGGAAGATGTTTTAGAAAGAACTAAGGTCAGGGCAAAGCGGAACCATAAGCCTGCAGCATAGATTCTAAAAATTATCTAGGTTCTATGGGCCTAATTTTTATCCTAAGGAGTTAAGAGATTCGTTCTACTACGCTGGCATGGAAGATGTTTTCTAGCTGGTTTCCGGTTTGAACTTGGCTTAAGCTTTCGAGCTTATGGTTAGGCCTAAGCTTTGGCCAGCAATATGAATGGAAATATCTATTTCAAATGAGTTCTATCTAAACTTTAACCACTTCAACTGCTATGCCAGAGTCTTTGCTTTTGGCATCGCTTCCAGCGAAAAGCCTGCCTTCTCAATTCTCTGCAATTGGTCGCCACTTTGCTAAAATGGTAATTACCTTGACAAACTTCATTATGCTTCGCACCTGTGCGGCATCAAAATGCACCTGTCGATGCAGCCGGGCCAAAGGCGCCAGCCCCTGCATTAGCTGGATATGCTGATTAAAGCGCGGATGGAGAGCGCAGAGCACGAGAAATGCATTGAAAGCCTGAAGTAAACATGAATCAACATCGTTTCGCTGCTGGCCATACTCACCTGGGAAGCATACTCACCTGTGAATGTCCAATTAGGAGCACTTGATACGGCTGTGTTTCGTTTTGCTGTTCAGCTGCCTCGCGCTGCGTAACCTCCACAATGTGGTCAATTATGGCTGGCAAATCGTATGCGCCGTGCTCATGAAAGCTATATCGCCAGAAATCGGCCATGACATCGGTCAGTTCGATGTGATGTCTGCCATACGGCGACGCGCCGCGCAGATTTGCCAGCCACACGTCGTAGTTGCGCTGATGCAGTTGAAAGGCTGCGCCAGACACACACACAAATACATTGACATAAATGGGAATACAATGAGTTGCGCTGCTTACCCAAACTCTTGGACGGCCCCAGGCACAGCCAGCCGAGCGAGGAGCCCAACAATCCATGCACTAGCAGCACAGGTCGTGCCCCAATGCGCGGCAATCGCTGCAGCTGCAGCTGGTAGCCATCGCTGCTGGTCACATTGTGCAGCTCGTGGCTATAGTTCAAATGTTGCAGCCAGTCAAGCTGCAAGCATTAGATAGACAGCACTCAGTCTAGGCTCAAGTAATCCCAGTGCCCCCCACCCACCGTTGTCCACCTTTTGCGCTCCTCCACCTGAGCCCAGCTCAGGCCAATGACAATGAACACGGTCCCAATGATGCTGCAAACGGTAAACCTGCCAAATTCACACATTGTACTAGACCAGACTGGGGCTCGTTGTTGCTCCACTCGACCTTTGTCAAACGCTTTGCCTAATTGCCCACTAGTTGATAATCTTTGCGCTTCACCAAGCCTCACACACACACAGGCCTACAAAAGCGACACAAATTCGGGCTATTTTGAGAAATTGGATTTTAAATGCTTTTAAATTCCCAGATACCCTGTACTTGATGCTAAATTGTTCTTATGCTAAATGCCTATTGTGCTTTGCCCTAGCTCACAGCCTCGTTAGCCTCGTCTGGCTTGAAGTGCTAAGACTCTAGTATTTTTCTCCTGATCGCCTCATGTTAGGAGTAGTTGAAGTGGTATTCAGAGCTTTGGAATCTACTTCAAATATTAGAGTAGGCCCTAAATCTCTGAATACCTCATTGACTTTAGTTTCAGATTATTATATTTAAATGAACTCAAGTTCCAAGTCACTTCTCAGTCAAGAAACTGAATCAAGTATGGTCTGAGTCTAAGCCAAAGCTGAGCTATATTTATACTTAATATGTAAGCAACATTTTATATAATTTTATATAAAGTTAATCAAACTAAAATACAACTAAGTCAATTTGATTTCATATTTAACTCTGATGATAAATTGTCTCAAAATTCATTACGCCAATTTATTATTTTTTTAAGTTTGTCAACTTATTCCCCCTAAAAATCTCCTATTCTAAATACCTGTTGTACAGTGTAATTATTTAATTTGCGATTCTGTTTCTGTGTTTTACCCGCTGCTGACAACTCTTTTTGTTCCACTCGAATGCGTTCTACAGCCCCACACTTCTGACCAGCACTTCGTCAATTAACATTTTCATACACTCACTGCGCCGACATCAAAAGAAGTATATAGAGTAAAAGACCTAAGTTAAGTTTTCAAAAGATATTTATAAGCAAAAGTGATTGAAGCCATATGTGTATAAGACTTTTATCTCCAAAAGCTATAGATAAGTTATTGAAAAAACAGAGCATCGCTCAGTCGTGACCTTTCCTTCACTATAATATTCATGTGCTTTTTTTGTGCACTTCTCGTGTGGCTGGCACCACAATGAAATTTATTTCAGATTTCGTTTGGTGGCGCGACAAATGCAACAAAAGTAAATTGTTTAATTGCAGCTTTATTAAATTTAATAAAAATGCATATGCCGCCAGACAGGACACGCCCACTCGCCAGTCAGCGAGTCGGGCGCAGATGCGGCGCAAGGACTCGCACTCGTTGCTTCCGTTAATCGACTGCACTTTTATATTCAGTATTCAGTACAGGAGGCAGCGCCTGCCTCACCCACGCCCACTCCTACCCCTGCCCCTTGCTGCTGTCCGGCATATGCCGCCGCAAGGACCCTTTTGTGCAGCATCGTGCAATGCGTGTCCTTTGTTGCTACAGTCAGCTCTGCTGCCTCTTTTACCTTGCTCCCTCTTTTATATTCCATTTAATTTGGCGTTTGCTTTTGGCGCGCAGCAGCTTTTTCTTTACTTTTTTGGTTTTTCATAATTTTAATAAAGTTCACTGGGATTTTTTTCATTTTTTTGTTGCGCTCAGTCAATTGTTATCTCCCTGGCGATAAGTAAATATGCAATTGCAATTGGCAACTGCCTCCGAGTGCTTCATGTTTGTGTTGGTTTTCATATTTCTGCAGACCATTCTCTTTATTATGAGTATTGCATGGAGTGCGGCTATAACTCCGTGTACGATAGGCTCAACGACCAGGGCTTAAATGTAAAACGTTTCCGTCTACATTATGTGAGCTGCGGCATTATTTAATCTATCGCCTTTAAGCTTTATTTAATTTGAATTCAATTGGGAACCCTTGCTTTTTATTACTTTATCAAAGTATATTTTTTAAAAGTAAAATTAATGCAAGAACGCTGTGAATGGGTGTTCTCAAACTGCTGATGCTGATGTAATGCTTGCCTCTAAAAACTCGTTTCAATATATTCAGAACACAAGTTTTGTGCCATGATTAGGTTAGGACATAAGTAATGTGTAAAAAAAGTCCTTTTTGAATACCTCAAGAGTTTGTTTTAAAAAGTTCTGCCATAAAGACTCAACAACCTTTACATTCTCATATGCAACTAATTATCTCCATATATAAATAAAAAAAACCAAAATACATAACATTATTTATCGATTTCTGTTTACTGCCCACACTAATGACAATTTTAACGCCTCAAAAAACATGAGAGACAAAAAAAAACGTAAAAATCGCACAAAATCTGTATTTTTTCGTATTGTTGTTGTTTGGCATTTGATTGACGCCCAAGCGTAATGTCAATAGCTGCACAAAGGTGAGACGACTACAATAGCAACAAGAATTGTGATAGGAAAAACATTTCGCCAGAGTAAATAAAATAGAAGTAAACAAGTTGAGAGAAGGAAACAGAAAGGAAACAAAAACAGCAGCTCAAACCACATGAAATAATAAAAAAATAATAATAATGAAAATTGTGCACAGGCAAAGTCAATCAGTGCTGTTGTTGTTGTTGTTGTCGCAAAAGACAGTCGAAAAATAATAAAAGGTAGTCAAAAGCGAGTATCAAGTGATAGCAAAAGAAATGAGAAGTAGCAAAAAGCGAGAACACTTTGTGTTATTAAATAAGAGACAGACAGAGAAATCAAAATGTGCCAAGCTGCTCCAACTGTCAGAGTTGTCACCGCTGACAATGGCCCTGGCGATGGCGCTAGCGACGTTTCCGTTTCCGCAGCGCGAGTGACAAAAATAACAAGTCAGCAGACAATGGCTGACGATGCTTAATCGCTGAATACCCTGCATAAAGTCGAGTACAATTTGACTAAAGAAACGAGGAGAGTATCAATTAAATCTGGTCAGAAAACACAATTATGAAACTCTAGTTTCATTGATTTCTTAAATCTTATAGATGGCTTTATTTAGCTCCATTAAAAATTGTTAAAAAAAATATATGAATGTGACCGAATTATTTTTTTTTTTTTATTAAATGAAATGTCAGTTATAATTTACATTTGTTAATTTTTTTCTAGTTTTTATTTTCTATTTTGCGACTTGAAATAAAGCATTGTATGATAAGATGTAAGACAAGCTGGGGTTTAACTCTTGTAAGTCTTCCTCTATGGCAGAGTCTTCAGACAAGTAAGAGAGGTGCGATGAAATGTTGATTCAATTCCATAGACTTTTATTCCATATTTCAGTATTTAACTCTTTTGTTGTTTTTTTTTTTATAGAAAGTTTATTTCAAATTAATTTATTGTTATATATAAATTTGGTTTTATTAGTGTCTTTCTTTTTATTCTCTGTGCATATTCTAAATTTTTTTTAGTTAGAAACCCAAAAGATTTAACTTCATATACAAATATTTATTGCAAGAAATAATTAGCAAAAATAAATTCAGAATCGAATTATTATTGACTCTTTGTGCAAACAAAAACAAATATTTATCATATATAATATATAAGTCAATCAAAATCTTGACATGCATGGCTATGTCTATAGTCAGAGTAACTCAGATAAATCAAAAATATAAAAATACCAATTCACGTCTACTCCTCGTGCCCCCTACAGGGTATACAATGAAAAACTTGACTGGCAAAAATGCAAATAAAGAGCCAGCGCCAGCGCCAAATGCACGGAATCAATGTAATTGACGAACTGACTGAGCGAGTGAACGAAAGCGCAGAATGAGTCGTTTATTGTGGCCACACAGCAACCCCGCAGCAACAGACAAAGACAACAATCCCCTCCATCTTCCCGGCCAGGCCTTCGGCTAGAGGTAGGCATGCAAAGCTCACGCTTTGTTTGTCTTTCAACTCAATTGCACGGCAAGTCGACTACTTGTTGTGGGTTTTTTTTTCTTTTGATAGGATTGGTCTGGAGGCGGCTGTGGGGGAGTTGGTTTTCCGCCTATATGACTTTTTATTATTTCCTATGGTTTGATGTGATTGCTTTCGAAATGTTTGCGTGCCATTTGTTGACAGTAAACGCCGCTTAATGATTTCATTTCGGTTAGCAATAGGATTTCTTTTTTACCCTGTTTAACATGCGCCAGGTACAAATCATACGAAATTCGGCTGGAAATTGGGGTTCGCTTGTGCACAGCTTGTTTAACTGTCGCAAATAAATATCTACAGTCAACAATAAATGTCATCGACTGAGGCGAATGACAAGTTGAAGTTTAGAAAGTTATTACATATATAGAAAAGTAAATAATTGAACATAGTAAAATTTAGAATTGCTTAAATATGTGATTACGGTGACATACAATTAATGTATAACTAAAAGTTGTATAACTTCCTCCAAATACTGTTAATTATAAAGCAGATTCAGTTAACATAGTTTAGATATGTTATTGAAATGTTAGGGTTGGCCTTAGTTGAACGAAAGCTTGGCCATATATTTAAAATATTTCAATAGCATTAGAGGCACTGTTAGTTAACATGGAATATATATATTTTATGTTAACGAATCTGTTAAGCGTATATCTGGGGTTGTTAAAGAAATGTTAATGCTTAAGCTCCATTTCAACTTACGATCTATTTTAATAGCATTCGAAGAGAGCCAAACAAACTTATAAAGATACTTTCAAATATCATTATATTATACTATAATAACCTTAAGCCATTTAACAGTGAAAAGATATAATGGACAAGAGCGAATCTGCTAAGAACTTAATATTAAAGCTGATCTGACTGTCTCTTAGTTCTGTTCTGTTAACAAATCAAACTTAAGCTGATACGCAGCACCTCCAAGCGCTACTTGACTGATAAGCCTGTGGCAGGCTTTTACATGGCACTCGACTCTGTAAATGCCCACATTTGACACTCATCGCTTGAGCTGATGGTAAACAGCGGTCACAAATATTGACGGCGCGACTAATGGGCATTAGCTAGAGACTTAACGCTGGGCACGAGTTGTTGTCCTGTCGCATTTTAAATAAACACAGGGCGCAACATTGCGATGCAAACTTAAAGACTTAAGCACAAAATTCTCTCAACGAGGGCAAAGTTTTCACATTTTTGTTTAACATTTGCAAAATTCTATTTTTTTTTTCAGCTGCTTCTTCTTGGGCTTCTTGTATGCATAATGGAATTAGTTAAATTTCTCTTTTGCAGCTTTTCACAATGCTGCAAAACTTTCGCTGAACTTGCGCCAAAAAACTTTTGCAGCTCTCCGGCTTTCGATGCTTTTTTGAATGTTATGCGTTTCTGATGACGTTGTTCACGTCCTGGTATTCATCCTGGTTGTTATCCTGCTACTCGCCGACCCGTTAATGCCAGCGAAGTTGCAACTTTTGAAGAAAAAAAACTTTTTACTTAGAACAATGTTCCCGACAATCACTCGATTTTAATTAAAATATTTATGAATTTGTCTTTCAGCGAGAGACAGAGACAGAGACAGAAACAGAGGCAGAGACAGAGCATAGAACGAATCAAGTTAGAATGTTAATGGCTGAGTATGAGCGACTAGCAGATACACTGTTTATAAACTTGCAAGACGTTTGCGAAAGTTATGATCAAATGATCAAATATAAAGTAGGGTTGATGATATAGCTACTATATAAATCTGGCTATTTGCTAAATATTCGCATAGCTTACCTAATCATTGCGCCTCAAGGGTATTTGAATTTTTTCTTTAATTTATCTTGATCAAAGTCGAAACTCGAGACAGTTTACATCCACAATGATGAGTCATTATCGCTGTTGGACTGCAAAGAGAGATTGCGTCAATCAGAAATCACAGCTGGCTGGAATTATTCAGTTGTTCAGACGGCGTTCTCATTAAAAACCCATAATGTTCCGCACGCAAGGCACAAGAATAATAATAAGTAACCGAGTGTAATAACACTTTTAATTATATTTGTGGTGAGAATTTTGGTTTTATCAGATGCGATGTGAGTTGCTTTTTAAAAGCGAAACATTAAATGGGAGCTGCAAATCTGAGACGTGATGACTTAGCAAGCAGCTAAGCAATTGCGTTCATCTCTCGACTCTACAGAATGATTTTTGTTTTTCTTCTTTGCAGATTCAAAAAATTATAAACTGAGAGAGATATAAAAAACCCTGTATCAATTGAGCCGAACAATTGAAGAATCATGTTTCGCACAGGCTTACAATTAATTAAGGTACTCACATTTCCATCATCATTTGCATATTTCGCAATCGGGTTGAACAATTAATTCCAGCCTCACTTGATTGCCGTCTATTGTTGTCAATCCGGCTTCCATAATAAGCAGCAAAAAACAAAACTCTTATTCAACTGTTTATTTAAATAAACAAAGTATTATTATACTACCGCTAAGCATATGTTACGACCAACAATTGATAGCGAACAAATTCGTGGAAAAGTACAAAATACGCCTTAATTTTTTAAATATACAAATAAAAAATATATTATTTAGCCCCTATCAACAGAGGAATGCATATCCGCAATGTAAAATTAATGTAATAATTAATTTATATATTTTGAAGTTTCCCAAGTGGCAAGAGAAACTAAATAATCTTTAAATATCTTTGCAAAGATACGATTTTAAGTTAAGTAATACATTATCTTGTAAGAAAAAAATATTGTTCAACTTATTTACCATTAAATAAGACCTGAAAAAGACCTATTTATTGTTAAATAAAACCAGAAAGTATTGTTATTATTGTTGAAAATACTTTCAGACCTTCAGGCTGAAAAATGTTAAGCATTGCTTAATTATTCAATATAGAAAGGAAGCAGCTGAACAAGAACACAAACAATGAGTTTTTGTAAAATATTGACAAAGCTGACTAACAGACTTAAAAATGTTCTAAATAAATTTAATAAGTGCTTCATTTATATACTATTTAAATTATTAAATAAAAGTATTTATATATTTTTCTTTTTGCTAATTTACCTATATATATTTTCGACCTAAAATAGATTGATATGAACTAATTTAAACATGCAGTTGCCTTCGCATATTGCTGTCATACATCACTTATCGCTTGCAATATCTATCGGCGGTAGATGTATGCCAACTACTTTTATGGAGAACACACGGAACCCTTCAACAAAATTTGCCTCTCTCAATGGCACTTAAAGGGGCATTTTTTGTGTATTGGCTGAGTTCAATTTGGTTCCAAGTTGCACTCAGTTGCCTGGTTTATGTCTTTTCATTATTGATGACTTAATTCCAGTTGATTTATTGAGGCCACAAACAACCGGGCTGGGCGAGCCATTCAGCCCCATCCAAAAGGAGCAATCGGCTCCAGGACCTCGACGCCATTTTGTATGCACACGTAGAGCTTCTGCTTTTATGTGGCAAGTAATACACAGACACGACTGTCCGAGCTATTATATGTGTGTGTGTGTGTGCGCAATTCGCACAGCTGTGTCGAAGAGCCGAGGCGCACGTGTTTAATAAATAAGCCAAGTTAATGTTGTGTAAAACATGGCAGCCAAAGCTAATCGAAGTGCTGTTCAAACTAAGCACACACAAATATTAGTCCAAACACAACATTTGCAAATACTTAGTGCAAACACGAAGATACTTGTTAGGTTCAACCAATTTATTACTGCAAATAGTTACACTATATCTGAGAGCCTTATAAATTGGCTTGAATGCAGGCTGAACCCAGTTCATTTGGTAGTAGCTTTGATTGAAATTAAGCTCTAAGATACATTCAATCAAATTTATTAAAATTTAGATTTCACTTTATTATAAAGAGTATGACATGTGTAGTATCTGTCAGTAACCCTCATATAATTGAATTTAAATATTTCTCATTATTTGTCAATGCGGTTGCCGCCCCCAATTGATATTATTTTTGTTTAGCAATAATCGAATATGAATTATTTATTCGGAAATTCTGCGATAAGACTGCATATTTATTTGTGTATAAAAGCCCAAGCCTAGCATCGATCAAGCATTAATCATGGCAATCTCTGCACGCAAAGTACTCTGCATTTGCAATCTGTTCTTGTTGCTGCTGCTTACTTGGGCAGATGATTGTCCTAAGGACTTCATGCGGCTCGGCGATAAATGCATAAGCGTATATCTGGATAAGGTACATAAATGCAATTAATACAAATTATTTTCAAGTATGTATACTAACGAGATGAATGTAGGTGAATTGGTTTGATGCCGACCGCAAATGTCGCTCGACCAATGCAAACCTCTTGACGTTCGAAAATGATGTGGAGCGAAGTCTAACAACGGAATACCTGAAGAATATGGGCATAATTTCAAAGAGCTACTATAACGATTCCATCTGGATTGGTATTAACACGTTGGGCAAAAATCGAACCTTTGTCCAGGCCAAAAATGGGAAAAATCCAAATTATGTCAGGTGGTGCACCAATCAGCCAGATAATGACAACCAGGAATGCGTGGCATATGCGGATTTCGCTGGTTGCAACTATGGATACCACGACTATGACTGCACTAGTGTATTCCCATTTGTGTGTGAAACCAAAGTTCGTCATGAGTCTAATTACCTGTGCCTACCTCGCAATAATTTCGTCGAAGTTTACCATGAAACTTGAACTGCAGACTTCAATAATATTTCATTCAATATAACTAGTGCTTAGCATTAAGCTGAAGTCTTGAATAAAAGTTGAAAGGCATTGCATTGCATTGCATTGCCTAGCCAAGCATTTGAAATTATACAAGAACTTTATATGAGAGAGAGCTAAGTTTTCTACAAAAGTAGTGAAAGTAAAAGGAAACTATTTTCAGTTTTGCAAACTTTGCTGTAAACATTCAGCAGCAATGTTTAGTACAGTTAGTTGGGCATAATCAAGGTATTTCAAGTTTATTTTACAAATTTATAAAGTTTTTATGCTCGTACAGGCTGAGAAAACGGGTATATGCGACTTTGGAATTTGAGAATATTTATGGACTTTTATTTTATGAATTGGGCGATGTGATAAATCGGGATCAAGCATAGAGACTAACAATAGCAAATGTATACAAATGTCTGCATTTAGCAAAGTATATAGACGTAGTATAAGCTACTAAATTCCACTGAGCAACAAATTTACTTCATGGGAAGGGACGTCTACTTTGCCCAATAACATATTACCAATTGCAATTTATATAAGTCTTCGCAGGATAGGCCCATCATCATATACTTAAACAAAAATAAATACTCGAAAAATATGTTTAAATTTGGTAATATGTGGGCGAGTATTGAGCAGTCAATGGCGCCTGACTACGACATTCCTTCTCTTATTCATAATAGTTTGGCATCTTTAGCTTAATTTTCCGCTTGAAGTTAAGAAACTTTTTAGATTTTCTAGAGTTTGTTATGTGAAATGAAATGGAATCTTCTGCCAGCTGTCAAGTTTCAGTAAAACCTCTCTTTAACCTGTTAAGTATTCATAAATTAATCAATTTTACAGCCAGCAAATTGCAAGTACTGCAAATGAAATTTTCCAATTAATTTTAATGTAAATGATCTTTTATTTGAATTCCGCAAATGACAAAGCTAGTCGTTTGGCGCGTATTACCATAGATTGCGCTAACGGCTATTATTATAGGCGATTATTTTAGCGGCACTATGTTGTATTAAAAACCCCAAATTAATTGCTTGTCATTAACACAAATGCGTTGAAAGCGAAAATGCTGGAATAAAACCACAAATGTGCGTTTAGCCAGGCGGCAAAAGCGAATGTCGAACATGGAATGGGCCGCATTTACATGCCACTCAGATAACTGACTAGATCGACCCCAAAAAGTGCACAAAAACCATGGCAAAAACCTGGCAGCCTCTTTAGCTGGCAGCTAAGGGAGGGGCCGTGGCATCCATTCATTTGGCTAAGCTGTGCAATGATATCGCTGCCCCAAACGCATCAGTCATAGCAACCTGAATGCTTTACTAAAGGAGTGTCTGACTCAGTGTGTGTGTGTCTGGGTCTGTCTGTGTGTGTGTCTGTGGGTGTGGGTGTGTACATGTGTGAATACTAATGTCCAATGATTAAATTTTAATTACCGTGCACAAATCGAGTTTGTGTTTTGCTTCTGTTGCTGCTGCTGCTGTTGCTGCTGTTGCATTTTTCAAGTTGATGCAAATCTGTATCTGTATCTGCAGCTGTAGACGCATCCTGCATCGGCTGTCGTTTGTAGCTCTATGTGTATCGCTTTGTTGCTCGTTTTTCATGCTGTCCATTGAACAATGCTGCCCATTGCCGCTGGCCACATTCATGTCCAAGCTGGGCTAACTTCATTAACAGTTTCAATATTATTTTGCAGCTACTGAAGGGCCATTTCAATGGACGAGAGAGCGTATGTGTGTAGATAAATACTTATGTATGTGTGTGACGAGGCAAAGTGGACAAAGGGATAAAAAGTGACTGAAAACATTGCTGCTAATGGGGTAAGCTGGCCATATGATATCATTCATGTAGTTGACTCGTAGCTCCTACTTATTTCTACTCTCACACTTGAACACTTATTGTTTACAAATTTTTTAATTTCGTAACTTTATAAGCTATAGACTGCATAGGCAATGCCAGAATTCTACATTAATATGGCGAATGGCAAATCAGTGATCAGTGATCATTGAACAGTGAATAGATCCAATAAACTACTGAATCAATAGATCAATGCAATCAATCAATCTCTGGCTGATCGTCCCATGATCTCCCGCAGTCCACATGAAAGCCTCATGAAATAGCAATCAATACCATATTCCTGCTTGAATAGTATATGGAAGTATAGAACGGTAGACCGTCTAAAGCCCTCTCAACTAACAACTTTTGCATTTCCCAGCAATCGAAGTTAGAAATATATTTTATAAACAAATTTGCAAGCCATGTGTTCAAATATAAGATACAATTCCTAGCATGCTTCATAGCTTACACCTAACACAAAAGATTAATCCCATTTTCAATCAAGTAAAGTCTAATTTCATCGGAAAGTTATGTATTTTTTATGCTCCATCTTAAATAAGCAGCTTCATGTGAAATTTCCACAGCGCAGCATTAAGCCACGTCCATTTAAATTGGCAGCCCAGTCAAACTTTTAGTATCTAGCAGCAAATCTCAAACGATATAAACATTGCCGACCCTTCGCTGCGTAATACTCTTGTACATGTATGTGCTGCGAGTACGTATTTACAACATTTGCCTGCCATTGACCCGAGGGGAACAGTAAAACCGATGGCAATTAACTTTATAACATTGGCCGGGCCCACATACACGGCCATTGTTGTTATTCCAGCTGGACTTTCCATTCCTCTCGTTGTTGTTGTGGGTAATGCGCGCCAGTTGATTAATTGGAAATTGCGGTTAATGGGGGACAGATCAGATCTGAGCAGGCAAGCGACAATGACTTTCCACCCGCCCCAAACACACATAGACACAGGCGTGACAATAGCTTCAGGCAGAGTCTAGACTCTTAATTAGTATGGGCGCTGCGCCTACAAGTATGCAGTGCCATATGCAAAAACTTTTGCCCCTAACTTTGCCACATTTTATTGAATTGTCAAAGTTGACAGATTTGCAGCGGAAAATTAACAAGTTCTCGCCCAAAAAAAAAAAACAAAAATGGGAAAATAATGTAAAATGCGGAGCAAAAAATGTAAAACTTTATCCTGCGGCAAATCGAGTTAAGAAGTCGTAAACTATGCAATACTGAAAAAAAATGTTTGGTCCTAACTGCATACAACATGGCGTCGGCTGTGCCAGAAGTGGGCGTGGGCATGGGCGTGACCGAGGCCGGATATGGCAGCAACAAAACTTAAAAACTTCCAGACATCGGGCTACATTTTTATGCCATTTACGCCAACAACAAATACATAAATAAATATACAAACATATATACATATATATATCTGTATATATATATATATACAGATACATTACAGCTATCCCGTAGAAAACGAATGAAGTTTGGGCTGAGAAGTTGCTTCCAGTGCAGCTGCATATTTTTCTATGCGACCATGCGAATGGAAACGTTTCTAACATTAATATCCAATTATATTTTTTTATTATTTTTTATATTAAAAAGAAGTTTCAAGCACGCAAATACATTTATGTTAAGCTTTATTCTTTAAATGAGTGCATGCAATTAAAGTTTAATTCTTGAGACAGAATTTATATTACATGGCATATATATTTTTTGTTATATTAAATAAAACCTTTTTTTATTGGCAAATGAATTTTTGTTTACAATAAAGCAAAATATAATATAAAATAATATTAAGGGATAAGCCGCCAATGTTCCTGAAATAAATACAATTATAAAAAAAATTAAATACCTTTTTTTTAACTAGCTTGACAAAAATCAATATAAGAATGAATATAAATTTAATGAGAATTAAATTAAGATATTTAAAAAAACTTTAAAAAATTTTAAAAATTTTTTCAATTTTTTCCTAATTTGTAAAATAACTTTTTGAGACGACGAAAATAATGGCATCATATAGAATATTTTCAAATTGTTCACACATATTTAAAATTCCGACCACATAAATACAAATATCATATAAATATATAAGTTGAACCTTCCGCTCTTCACACACACCAGGCAAACTTTGTAAACTTCTAACTCGTTTCACTAATCAAATCATTTAAATTCGATTCATGTCTTGAGCTCAGCTGCCATTTTGGGCCCCAGCCAATTATCAGTTGTGATTTTGAGAGGCGTCCGCACATCAGTTGAAATTTTTATGGGCCAGCAATGGAGGAGAGCCCATTTCTGACCCAGACTTTAACACCTACACAACAGACGGCTGACCCCAATAAATTCAACAGGCCATTTGAAAGCGGCTCAGACACTAAATGCGGGGGCGGGGGAGAGAGCCAAACCAAAGCTGAACTCCTGTTGATTTATTCAAAGGGATTGTGGTCCACATAACGTTAGTTATTTTGTGATCTGTGCTGTGCTGTGCTTGTTAGCATTTTAAAGCCAAGCGTCGCATTCTTTGTTTGGCCGCATAAAACCAAGATAAACGAGCTAATTTCCAGGCTGAAAGGATAAGGTCCTTGACAGCGTCGTCTTTGCGCGCATAATAAATTGCGCAAATGTGAAATTCGTATGCATTTTTATACATAAGACTAAGCATGGCCGCGTCCATGGGCTTGGCCTTGCTCTCAATGCCATTCACCATAAATCTATTGGCGCATTATTACGCATACGCACCGTGCGCCAGCTTCCAATTTCTAAATAAGCATATATCAAGGCATTACTCTGACAGCACACAAGTTCGCTGTCTGTTTGCTTGTACAGCTGAAACTACTCTTATCAATATATAATATGAATTTAAAGGCAATTTTAGCAATGTTATGGTTGGACTTCCAATACAAACGAACACTTTTACTCAGTTATTTATATAGCAAGGAACTCAAATCACATAACAATCGCAGTTGACTAACAAATTCAATTTAATTGAAATTTCAATATAATCGGCTTTCAGTAGTAAGATCTAAAGTCTAATAAAGTATAATAAAAACTTAAAACTAAAACAGAACTGAGTTAAACAAGCTTAATCAAGCGAAATGATAGCATTTGCCAAATGAAACAACAAATTGTTAAGCGAATTTCCTAAAGCAAACTTTATTTTGTTTAGCAATGCACACACTGATGCTGTGACAGCTGCACCGGCATCTGTTTACCTGTTGGTTACCTGTGATTGCACTGCCCGTAA